GTGATGCCGTTCGAGCATCCCAGCACTCCATCCGTACCGCACAGGTACAGCTGCGCCTCCCAGTACACAGAGTCCAACGAGGCGCCAAAGCCGGAGTAGTTGCAGCTGGCATACAGCTGCAGGGGGTGCGGTGTGCGGGGCGGGCGGCAAAACGTGAGTTGGGGGGGAGGCGTGCCATCGGGGGCAGTGCAGGCAAGCCAGCTTGAGCACACTATTATGTTGCCGAAACCAGGATGCACGTCCCGAAGACTACAGGGAGAAGCAGTGCTCTGCAGGCGAGCGCGCTGGACGAGCGGCAGTGGCGGCGGTGGCCCGCCGCCACCCGCGCACCGGCAGGGTGTTTGTGAGGTCGGGGTAGATCAGGGGGTCGGCTCCGAAGTTGTAATTTGTGCCAACTTCAGCGTTTACGTTGCCGAAGGTGAACCCCGAGCAGGCGAGCCCGGCCGGCACACAGCTGGCGGCCACGGCGAGCAGCAGCAGCGTGGCTGCCAGGCCTCCGCGCGCCATGGCACGCTAAAGACAGGCAGACCGTGACTTAGGGGTGTTGAAACCCGCCTATTCCACCGCGAAATCAGTCCTCAGACGGAGGTAGGGGGCAGAGGGTTCGTGGCATGGTTGAAAGGGTGCGGTCGGGGCAGCTGAGGAAGCGAGTAGAAGAAGGGGGAAGCGGCCAGACTGGTGGCGAAAGTACTGGGGGGAGGAGCCATGCTGTGCATGCTGCTGGGCACATACGCCCCCCTTCCTGCCCCTCGACTCCGCGGCCAGCTCGCTACGGTCTGCCACTTCTATTCTTTCGGGGAGGGGTTAGGGTTTCACCTTCCATCCTTGCTGTCGACCTCCGCGGCCTCATGCTCACCACACACAAGCGGCCCCAGCCATTTTGAACTCGAGTGACTCATCCAGCCTGTTGCTAGGCCAGCAACAGCCCACCACCACAGGCCAGCCCCCAGGGAGGAGCCTCCAGGGAGGCACATGAGGGAGGCACATGCCAGCCTGTGGCCACTGCCTGCTCTATGCCTGCAGACAGCGCCTCGAAGGCCTGGCATCGCATGGGGTGGCCCACCCACTGCAGCTGAATGCCCCTGGCGTCCTCCCCCGCTGCTGCAGCGGAAGCTGCCGCTGCCGCCCAAAACGCAGGCGCGGGAAGTGCTGCATGTGCCCTCCTGGACGCCCTCGGAGGCTGCGCTAATGCAGCCGCCAACGGTTGCACTCATACACATGTGTATGTACGTATGTACTGTATGTATACAGTTGTTATTGTTGATGCCCTCATTTAAGGCGAGAGCTCCCGTTCCAGACGCGTGGGCCCTCCACACTCCCGCCGTGTCTAAACCCTCCGAGAGGGCACAGGTTCGATTCCTCCCATGTCGAAACTTTGTGAGGACAAACGCGGCATAGCTGACCGGCTCAGCGCCAATCCAAGCCAATTCCTTCGGGAACGCCTAATAGAATCGCCAAGGCTTCGGCACAGGCCTCCCCGGGACCCATTCACTACTAGTGGGGGGTACTGCACTTGGCGCGTCGGGCAGATCAAATAATGGTCTAAAGCTAGACGTTAAAACCGGGAAGTGAAGCTTGTGGAGGCTCTTCCCCACCTTTACCTTTACCTTTACCCGCCAGTCTGCCGCCGCCACTTGACGCGCCAACTGCCCATCGCCTGACCCTGCTGGTTTGAGCCATCTGTGGTGAACCACAGTCACGATAAGGGCTGCTGACTGGCCAGGCATCCTCCCATGGCAGAGCTATGAGGTGGGTTTCGGCCGGGGGCAAGTGCAGCTGCTGCCAGCCTGGACATCGCCACATCCGTGGCTCCCCCAGTGTGTGTGGCTTTCCCCCATCGCGCCGTACTGCGGCACGTCTTAAGAACCACCGATCACCCCCCCGCAAAAATTACGTGCACGCGTGCGCCGCACATCCCCGCGGTGCGCGGGCT